GAGCGCAATAACTATTCAAAGCCCAAAGCAACCAACAACTCGTTGATTCGGCTACCGGTAGAACCAAATCCCTGCTCCTACGAACGGAATAGCGCTCTCTTCTCCACAATAGAGATACTAGAGAGATACAATTGACTTGAGATAAGTGGAAGCTCCTCTTTTGATCCCATTGTTTTTCATTAAGCCCCTCTCCCCCCTCCCCTGACCATTGAACACAATGATGCTTACAGTTTATACATCAATACAAAATTGCATTATTCGACTGTTTGAAGATTCAGTGTAAAGTGTGCAAAGTGCAGGGGAGTGGGAATGAATAACCACATGCCCACGCATATACATGTGTACATGTATAGTCAGATGTATTCGTGCCCTGAGGGTATTTATTATTGTGGTGGGCAGTATTAGGGGAGGGCATTGCATCCTCATTTGTCACCCGCAAGTAAGTTGTAAGCGACTTATATTGAGGTCTGTGGTTTACAAGCAATATAACTCAATTAAGCGAGCTTGAGAAAGTGAAGCATAAGACCCACAAAAGAAAGTTAAGACATCTGCTAGTCATCGAATAGGTATAGGTTCCAAATTCAGGGGCCTTTATGACATGAGATGATCCGGGCCGAAGCAAGGGGCGAGCATCTCCCACTTCTTCAGGCTGCATTAGCAGCCGTCATAAGCAGCAGCAGTACGGGTAGTGGCAGCAATAGTAGAGCTAGAACTATTCATAATACCATCCTTTGAATACATCCGTCTATTGTCATAGCCCCTTCATAATTAGTCCCAATTCTCATTTGATTTTCCATTGTGTTTTCCATGTTCTCCATTATTCATCGTATTTGGCGGAAGATTTTTATTGAAGGTGCACTGCCACTGAAGTACCCAGAAAAGCTGGTCATACGTGGAGATGCAGATGCGCCACTGTCCCAGACTGGAACAAAGGGGGTTTGGGTCACCCCAACCCCTATAAAAATGATCTGTTGCGTGTCAAATGATAGCAACAGGGTCCTGTTTCGGGTGTTGGGGTTACCAAAACCCTCTTGTTAGATTGGGTGCTGCTTGATTGGAGCAGGAAATCTGCATGTTCTATGGTATGGCGGCATGTCTCCTGAAGCAGTACGGTCCTCAAGTGGGCTAAAGGTTCGTAAGTCAAAGCAGGTTAGATCTACTCACACTTTGCCGCTTGTGCTAGAAGCAAGTAGAGCAACTATACCCAAATCATATGTAAAACCTCAGGTTGTAGCCAGGTACTATCCTGCGGTCCTTTATAGTTACTAGCATAAAAAGGTATTGTTTCGTAATATGCCTACCTGGGGTAAACCCTAAACCCGAAACCATGTATTTGGAGGTCAATGGCCCTATCGGCAGCCTTGGAGAACGAGACGCTTCGCTCTCTGGCACGCCGGCAAGGCTCCACTTGCCCCAGAGGGTTTACGGTTCCAGAGTTTAGGGGTTATTTAGGAACATGTAGGGCTTACATTGTTAGGATTTATAGGAGTCATATGCAGTCTACATATATCATGAACTCCTTGAGTTCAGTAGCAAGTGCTCCCTGATTAAAAGGTTCAGCTCATAACACCAAAGGCAGTTGGGGCACAGGAAGGGTTTAGGGGCTGAGGGTTCACACCTGCTAGGGCGTGTTGTCTGTTTTCTGTTGCAGCAGAGGCTTGATGGAGTACTTTTCTTAAATTCGCAGCTTTCCTCAGCCTCAACCTTGAGCGCCTTCTTTGTTGAGCGTATGCACTCCAGTATTCGGCAGCGGGTTTATTTCAAGAGCTTCCTTGTCCTGCGCCACATGTGGCCACCATGGCCTTGCAGCTGCATCTAAACTTACTGGTGGTTAGTAGGGAATGGGGGTGTGGACCCGTATAGTAGACGCTGTAAAGTCCCTTACAAAAGTCCATAAGTCCTATCCTTTCATTTGCTTCTAAGCTCCGGTAAGTAAAGCATGGCAGGTTTGCAGCTCGCCAAGCGCTTCTCTCTTCGGCGTATTGCTTCCAGAACCTTGCAGCTTCAGTCGTGAGTCACCGCGGTCTCATGGGCCTTAAAGAATTTAATTCTGTTCCACCTATTTGGCCAAGGGTTGGCCCGAATTCTGCGACTTCTGCTGCGACGGCGACTTGCGCGGAAACGCTGGCGCTTTGCAAGGAGACCAACATTCACCGTTCCGAAGGCTATGCTCCCGAAGTGCAGTTTGGAGAACCATTTGCATGTTCTTAGGACTTCAGGGTGGACGCAGCAGCTGCCTTCCATTACTTGAAGATCCTAAACCTGAATCGGAATTGCGGTAGAGAGAAATTTCCTATTGCTTCAACATCGCAATTTCGGACATTCCAAGCGGAGAGCTAGCTTTTTGTGAGCTGGAGGACTCAATGATGTGCTGAACGCCAACCGAGATTTGTGGCCAAAGATGGAGGCGCTCAAAGTTATTGTGTCCCACATGACCAAAACGGTGTCGAAGGAAATTGCGTTCATGCCGAGAAGCCTCAATTTCAAGCTTGCTGCCAGTGTGCTGTCGCATAATGTTTTTCGGGTCGAAGCTGCAACAAATACAAAACTTGAGCTCAAAGCACCCGAGACCCTGACTTTTCTGCATTGTAGTGGTCTTAGCAGAATGACATACCAATTTGCTGTTTTAGCCACGGCTCGGTAGGGATCAAATTTCTGAGGACCCATTTATAACATAGAGCAAGATTCAAGGAAATGAATGCCGTTAAGCCAGGTGTCCATGGACCAGCGCTACGGCAAGGCAGGATACTCTCATTGATCTGGTTGTCAAAACCTTCCCTCAAACGAGCCCAAAACGGCTAGCTAGTATGAGGCCTAAGCAGGGCCCAAAATAAACCGGTGACAGCGATTGAGATGCGGAGCGCCTGCATTCTCTAAGCATATTATTACTATTACTATTACTATTACTATTTTCTTATTATTTCTATTATTATTTCTATTATTATTACTATTATTGTTGTTATTATTACTATTATTATTTCTATTATTATTATTACTATTGTTATTTCTATTATTATTACTATTACTATTGTTATTTCTATTATTATTACTACTATTGTTATTACTATTATTGTTATTACAATTATTATTATTATTAAATAGTATTATTACTATTATTATTACTACTATTAGTATTACTATTAGTATTATTACTATTATTATTATTATGGGTTCTGATGCTCGGTCCTGGGGAGCTGGGTGATCACGTACAAGTTCCTCATTTCCACGTCTCCTGACCATCCAACATGCCCCTATCGTGGATGGACGTCACACGAATGGGACAGTTTTGAATGAATTGGTGAGGGCATGATGAGCAACAGCAGCCCACAAAAATGATGTGCAGCTAAAATGAAACCAAAGCTCTTGCATTGTCTTGGTTTGTAGTGGGGGCTGCCCAGCAGCATTGCGGGCAATTATTCTCGGGCTTCCCAAAGCAGATATCATTGAGGAAAGGCTGCTATTGAAATAGCCGTGCTCGGGTTGAGCAAGGGTACAAGTGAGATCTGCTTCGAATTCGCTTGAAGGCATTTTGTTTGTCTTCAGCGTCCACATGCTCCCACGGAACAGGATGTCCCATCAGATGCCGACGGCTTCTGCTAAGCAACCTGGCTACTTGGCATAGCGTGAGAAGGCTGCTCGCACCCCATGTGGCATTTCAGACATTTTCCTTACCCCAACACAAAACCAAACCCATATAACCGGAGCAGCACTTACCCCTGTCCACGCAAAAAGTGCTGCATCGAGGTTTTGGCAGCGCTTACTGCGACAAGATGAAGATGTGTTTTGGCTTTGGGCTTTGGCATGGCAGCGTTTGAGCATCATCCTTCAAGACGCAGGCAACATGCGGTACGTCGTGGTCACCTTTCATGGGTTCTATGCTTGGCTGGAAGGACGATGCGTTGCCTCGCTCGCATGCGATCTGAGCAGCCAAAAGGTTGCATCCTCTTCGTGGCTGAACATGTTGTGGGCAGGCTTGGAGCAATGCAAACGGCCTTTGTGCTTGCACTGAGACCAACGAGCTAGGCAAAAACAGCCGATTGTTGGGGAACATGTGTTTTGAGACATGGTCAATGCTACCCGCTGTTCTGTCAAACAGTTGCTGAGATCAAAGAAGTTCAACCTTGACTTTGTATAGCCAGCAACACCTCAGCGCTTTGAGTGTGCCCTGCGTTTCATTGCACTGGCCTTCCAGTCCTTGCCGAGTATGCAGAAGCAGCAACGAAGGCACATGTGGGTATTTGGAAAAGGGGACGTTCTCATTTACCCCAACATATTATGGTGCTTATCAACCGGAACCCCAAAAACCCCGATTTCTGGAAGCCCCCGTACCCTCTATGCCTTAGTTTATAATGTATCCAAAACTAGGTGGTTACAAGTTAGAATTCATGGTAGTATCCCAATAAGGAACCAGGTAAACATCACGACCGCACCACTTAATTGTGCTCAGGTCGCCTCAACGACCGGAGTCAGGGCCAGGGAAGGGAGGAGCGGCTGGGGGTCGATTTAGGCCCCAATACTGAAGAATTGAATGGAGAATCCGCAGGAAAATGGGTTCTATAGAGATTCAACAATTTACTTGCAGTTATCATTAGGGAACGTGGAATGAAAGAGAAGATGATTTTTGGCGATTGAGGATAGCTGCTACTGTAGGTATACAGTCCTTTACCATCCATTCCTCCATGCCCTACTACAATTGTTAGGACCAATGGTTGTTTGGGGATTCCTACACGGGTTCCTGATCGGAATGAAGAGTAAATAGCCATGATGATGTGGTACCATTGGTACAGTCAGCAGAACAGTAGCACTTCTGATCCAAACGTGACCATGATCAACGATAGTGACACAATCGTTTTGGGGTTGGCATCGCAGAATTTGATCCTTGGAGAGTTGAGCAGCTTTCAGTGAGCCAGTTCTTTCGATCTGTTATGCAAGAGCGACAAAACCAAAATGTGTACCATCAAACGTAGCAGCATTGGTTTGAGTCCAGGAACTGCTGCGGGATGGAAGAGGATGGTCATCCGAGCAATGCCGCCGCAGTATGCTGGCTCATTCGGGTGTTCTCGGTTTGCATGCCAAGTCTTTGGGGAGTGATTTCTTTTTGAACACAGGTTACCATTCTTCCGTGATCCAACACGCAAAAGATTCCCACTTCTTGTTTCAAGCGTGTATCTCATGAGTGCTGTAAGGCTTCCTTGCGTGGTTGGGGCAATGTTGAAGTTTCGCTGTATTACTCAACGTGTAGCAAACAATTTTCCGGACGTCACATAGGTAATGTGTCAGTTGCTTGGGTCCCAGTCTCGTACTAGCTGCATATTAGCCTTTAACACCGAGTTACAGAGACGTTGCGTAATATCCAAGTGTTGACCGCATATGTGTTTGCTTTATGGGGGCCTCTGGTCGAGTCTAGAGAAACAACGAGCTGAGGTCGCAGCCTCCCCAAGGCGTGCACGCTTCGAGGAAAGGCTCAAATTCCTTCCAGCTGCGGGCTCAGGAAAACTGGCGATTCAAAGTGGAGATTTGGCTGTGTCCTGACAGGTTGCCTACATGGTTATCGCAATGTTGTTGCTCGCTTGTATCTACCTGCTGGGCCTCAGCTGGTTGCAAACGGAATACAGCGCAGGGAGCATGTCAACCTAGCTTGCCATCGCTCATGCCTCCAGACGCCATGAACCAACAGCAGCCAGCCGCTAGGCAGTATCACATCTCTCCGCTCTTGTCCCGCAAAGCGGCACACCTCCAGGCAACAAACTGCTGCAAGGGAAAGCAGTGAGGTTCCACACACACTTCTTGCTTCGGAACGAGATTCGCAACTTAGATTCGACTTTGGGATACGACCAGTAGAGATCCAGAGCTACAGACACACACACATACACAAACACTTGATCTGGTTAAATGGAAATTGGACGTTGAAGCTCAATTTCTGTCAAGTCAAAACTGGCATGATGAAAATCTCTGCTCTGAGGC